ATTTTCCACTTTCTCATCATTTGTTGTACGGTCTTTTGGTTCGCATCGATTCTCACAGGTCAGTTTCGTTATCTGCGGAAGACAAGGGTACGTTTACTCATAGCTAAGAACGACCACTTTTCAATTTTGCCATTATTTGCAATTCTTTTATTCACTTCAGGTTTCGTTTCTTTTTGAGTTACGGTGTTTGATTTCTCGCTTTGGACACTTTGAATGATATGTTTTTCATCATAAATTTCAATAATTTATTTCAGTTGCAGCATGTATATATATATTTACCACCGGCTTGAAAACAAGCATGGTGCCAACGCAACAACAATGACAGTGAAGGGGATAGGNTAGGATACAGAACATGGGGAAAAGTGAGTGAGACAGTTAAACATGGAAAATACAAGATAACAGAATTTTTTTGTGTGTTTCACCGTACACCTTTTGCAATTTTTTTTGTTGTTTGATGTTTCGTTTTTCTTAATGGGCACGGGATTTCGATAGACAGATCGTACAGCATTCGCGCCACTGACTTCTATTCTGCGCCATATCTCTCAGCGTCTCTAACCATAGACAATCCTCATCCCTTGGGCCCCAACCTGGGAGGCGGGCTGCACCAACCGAAGCCAAAGCTGAAGCCAGCTTCTTCATGCCTCTAGCCCATGTCATGGTCTGACCGCCGCGCCGCTTCTTCCAGCCTTGCCCGGCGCGTGCAAAGAGAGCACGGAAAATGGTATAAAAAACCTAACTTTTTGGTTTGCTTGTAAGCTAAATCAACGGTCATTTCGATAATGCATGGAACAAAATCAATCCAACAACCATCGGTGATAAACTTCATCCTCGGCTTACCAATTCAAATGGCCAGGAAACAGAGCACCCGGTAATTAAGAGCTCAGTTTCTAAGTGAAAATGTTGGTACACAGATATTGTCATTTATCTGTTAGCCAAGACTTGTTCTTCTGTTTTCAACCGGCAAGCGTGGCCTGATGTTCATTACCTGGATTGTTTTCAACAAACGGTTGTTCGACTTGATTTCCGTACTTTCCACTACTGTTTTTTGTGTCAGCTGAACAAACTCCTCAAATAGAACACTAGTTTGTCCATTGAATTTGGGTGTGCTCAATGCTTGAATGCTTTGAGTTGGCATTACAACTGTTATTCGTTGACTAGCGAATTACACACAAAACGAGTACACAGCACCACCGCAACCTATACAACTAGTTTATTAAGCCGGTAAGCCACAAAACTCAATTCCTATGACTATTTCTTATATGTTTGTGTTGCTGGTGTAATCCTGTTATACGCACTAGAGTTGGCAATCGCCATGTCACACTTCGCATCAGAAAACCCAGGTTTACTGGCGTCAAGTCAAACTGATTGGTGGTGCCAATGAGATCAAATGCAGCGCAGTTTTCTTTCCAGCCGCAGAGCATTTTGCTTCTTCTATCTAACTCCGTAACGAGCTTAACCCTATTCGTTGGTGTCTGGAATAAAACAGGTATCCTTCCACATACCAACATACATACCACGAACTTTGTCATCACGTGCATCTTTTGATGCAAACAAACAAACTGCTGATGTCTGATCAATTTGGACCGATAAATAATAGCTAATTGTTTGGGCATTTTCAATGGTTTACATACTTTTTAACAATCCGTTTAAAAACTGACAGGTTTTTTCAAGCTGTTCGTGTATTGTTAACTGTTCTGAAATAATCTTGATGTGATTTGCGAGCATCAGCGTTTTGATATCTTTTCGCCAAAATAATTCTTACCTTCCTAGGTTTTCAGTTCACGCTTCATTTGCTATATACACGACGTGATCCCATTTGAAATTTAATCAAATCCTCCATTACTCACAAAAAAATGATTCTTATCCATTTGAATTTCTGAAAAACTCTTTTTCTATAATAAGTGTTTCTTCATTAGAGCGAACGCAGTCCAACCGTCCAAATTTGCTCGCGCCTCAAAGAATTTCGCGCGAGAGAGAAACGTTCTGAAAATAGCACAAAACATGTTTAAAACAACAAAAAAAAACAAGTAACAAGCCCTCACCTAGTTTCCTAAAGATTCCAGTTTGCGTTCATTCGCGTTGGAAATGAGGCGCGCAAAAAGTTTCGTAGAAATTTATTTTATCAGCTACGATCACGTCGTTAGTTGTTTCTCACGTTTTTCGTTGATATAAAGCTATCGGCAACAGCTTTAGGTCGTGGATATGAGCATGGTCACTTACCTGGTTGCTCCGTATCAGTGAGCATAATTTCATTCGATGAACGGTCAAGGACGCATAGTGGTGATATATAAGGACGAGACGATTTTTTTACTGGAAAGCGATTTTACAACAAAGGCCGCGAACGAATTGTGGAGTGCTTAAATCTCACCCGTCACTAAATGAGACAATTGCCTTTTGTCCTAACGATAGCGCTTGAGCTTGCAAGAAGGTAAATGGAAGTGACACTTTGGACAGAACTTCGTGTGGTCCCATTCCAAATTCCTTATGCGTTCATTCACGAAACAAGCTAAGCATCGCGTAGAAGAAAGTAACTAAGAAGCAAAAATAAACTCAGTTGCATCTGGAATTTGGAAAGAAAAACACAAACGATCGAAAGTGCAGGGTACAATCTCTTTACTGAATTTCAACCAGTGTTTAACACAGAAAACAGGATTTACACAGAAACATAAAAAGAGGAAACACCCTGACACCACCGGGCCAGAAACAAAATGACGCAAAGTTCCTTCTATTGCCACAGCGTGAGTTTCCATTATTGATCGTTGTTACCCACGTAAATCTGGGAAACCGCGATATTTTGGCTAAAACATTAATTCCTTATGAGTTATTGCGATTGTCCTAATGGTGTATTGTTAATGGATGCACTGCAATTTATATTGACCGTATAAGTGTACCCGTTGGAGCATCCATCGGTATGCAATCATTGTGCTGATACGTTTCCTACCTGAAATTGCTGTAACTAATTCAAAATTAGATGTCCAAATTAAAACAAAGAGATCTTTTCGAATTGGCTGATAAGTTGGACGTCATGGATTACTATGTGTATTCATTGATCGTGGTACATCTGTTCACTCTGTACCAACAGAAAGAATTTTATTTTATGTTGGCTCTATCTCGCTGATGTGTCAGTCTGTTTTCCCCCTCCCTCCCCCTTTTTATGACGCTGTGTACCCTGACGTATACATAAAGCATCAGTTGAGATGCAGCAAAATGATTCCGGAAGTGCCTCGTGCAATTTCAGTATCTTGTGTTGTTTGTTCAAACTTATGCGAACCAAAGAACGGTTCAATTTTTTCAAATGCCGTCTGCATGGATTGGCTGTCTATGCCTCACACAGTAAAATGTGCCGGGCTATTACAGTATGCTCTCAACCGTTATTAGGTGATTCCTGTTGACATTGACAGATGGGTGAACCTCATGGAGAGTCGTTGGTCTCGCATCTCTATAGACATGGAATAAACCATTAGTCCGCCGGCGGATGCATCAGCATGGACTCGTTCGGTGCTTGATATGGTACTGCCCAGTTAACGCGATTCCTCTGTTTATACTATTACCTTCTCCGTCTTCGCTAGATTTGAAGTGGGATCAATTTGTGCCAAACATGGCTGCACTAATGCTCAGAATTTAAGATGTCAGGTTTATTTTACGTAATGATTGATCTTACATCCATGTGCGCCGGTTCTGGATACTCTCTTTTGGTCACCCACATGATCAACCAGTACTGAAGGAGTGCATGAAATCTGTGAAAAGTTGAGTGTTACACAGAGGAATAAACGGAGTACATGTCTGTAAAATACGTGCAGCAATTGGGTAAATCCGAGGATGCCTCTGGTTTCGATAGTCAGATCATCGAGCTAGTAGTGTCAGCCACAATTTTCATCGGATTCAATTCGTCCGGTGCTTGTACTGTACTGCTTGTACTGCGTAGGTGAAACAATAGTATGTGCATTGAAAAGTTTTCCATTGTTTTACTATATATTGAACCAGTCAAGGCAACAGCTTCCTTGTTACACCACCTTCCTGTGGAGACGGTGCTTCATTTCTGGAAGATGTTTTTTACATTAAGTGTTAAGCCAGCTTCATGAATGAACCGATGGAAGGTATGGGTATTGTGGTACAAGGTGGCGTTCTCGGTTCTTCACGAATGCGCCTCTAGCCCTGGTACTACCTGAGACAAAATGCTGAGCAACGGGACGATGGCGACGGCTTTACTTGGTGGTGGTGCGGATTTGGATAATTGTGGTGCTGATAGATCATGATGCATTCTGTGGGGAGTTTGGTTATTTTTGCATTGAGAACGCTTACCCAGAGAAAAATCCACCACATCATCCGACATCGCCATTGTGACCGTTCTTCCGCAACGAAGTACTGACCTATACGTAGTTAACTTTAACTTAACCATCTTAGCTTAACCATCTGAGTGGTATTTCTTGTGTCCGCAATCGGTAGATGGGTTCGATAGTCTGTAACTAATGTTTCATGGAAACGTTTCGAAAGATATAAGATGATGAGTAAAATCTTGATCTTTTTTCCTCAGAAGACAGTGTCGACTCAAGTAAAGAGTGTATTCACGGTTTGCTGGGAGGCCATTGGAATTGGTCTTCCTCAACAGTTGTATGTTTTTGATTGATGCTCTTAAATATTCTGACGTGAAAGCAAAAATCTTGAGATTGAAAGAGGTAATAAAAGACAGAAGTGGGTAATTTGATGGAACCGTAGGGTATAACTTATGGAGCATCATTAGTGTCGTACAGCAAGATAAAGTGAAGCGAATTTCGCTGATCGCTGCTAAGTTCATGATTTACACAAAGTAAGTAATGAAGTACAAGATTGAGAGGAATTTGGCTCAATTGGAGGATGGAAAAGGGTGAAAAACCTAACTGCGCCTACATAGCTTTTCAAACAGTCTGATCTGATAAGAATGACAACAAAAACGCTAATGCAGTCGGTTTACAGCCGTGTCCTTTCTTTTTCTTTTCATTTTACTTCCTTTCATTGAAAATAAGAAGATACAATTTTCAGGAAGGGGGAAGTGGCCAATCAAAGGGCTACCATTCAACACACAATGGAGAAAGTTAGGCGGTGGTGGTGGGATTCGAACAAACCCCCGGGGTGGTAATTTGGAGACGTTACTACCGGGCCACCACCGCTTAATACGGTGTCTCCAACCAGCTAGTTGGTTGGTGCATATGCGGAAATGATAAACAAACACCTTTTATTGTTTCTGCCCTTCTGAACACTAATTGAACCCCTGTGCCTCATTGCCTCATTCCGCTCAAACGACTATTGACGGGTATCCAATCTATCAGTGAGGCTTTAGCTTTGTCGTTTATTGCGGTTTCTACACTTCGCTGACCCAGAGAGCGGCCTTTATCTCCTAATGTGTGGAGAAAGTACCTTGAGCACAAACCCGGCACACTCAGATGGCTTATAATACTAGGATCCTGGATACACAACATACATCTACCTCGAATTGTTCATTGTACATGCAAAGCACGCTTGTTGGTCCACCTGCATCAGAGTTCTCACTTTGAAGGCTCCTAGTTTGAGAAATTGACGAGGCTTCAGAATCTGCTCTTCATTTATTGGTAAACTACTTACAGTTCTATTTGAAAACAACTTTTGGCCAGTGATTAACAAGTTGGCTGACGGGATGTTACGGATCGGAAGAGGGGGCAAGGGCGATAGTTGGGTATACGAGACAAAGAGTTTAACACCGGTTGGGATGTTTGAGCAGTAGCCCACTTACTACTGCCTACTCCGCTCGATACAGTGAGCAACACGGTCCTAGTTATCCTGCGCGATGATCGATGCAGTATGAAATGTTTTTTAGCTTGTGTATTCACTGGAGCTTAATGGACGGGTGCTGCCAGGGAGTCTAACCACTAAGTAGGAGATAAAGGTACTCAGTCAAAGCGTTTAGTTCTGACAAGAACCCAACCAAAAGGCAGGTAATGCGGAATGGAAGCCTGTTTACTTGGATCAATTACTCCTCCACCACTTTTTACCGACCGAGGCGCTGACTCCAGTCGAACCCCTAACCTCGTTGACCAGGAGACTGGACTTTGTCTAAGCTCTACCCATTGACTTTCTAGGCATCATTAGATCGTTGGCTCAGCAAAAGCCATCATTGTTTGCTCGATGGTGTACAAGCCACCACACCACCTCAAGGTAGAATCTCGTTGTGATGGAACTATTGTTCATTGTTCTGTTTCCATATAAGCCGCAGGTACTCTCCACATACGGTTTTCTATCGCTCTCATTGGTATGCGTCCATGATTGCACCTTTCACTCTACGACTCATAACTGGCTTCAAATATATTTTGCTATTTTTAAGTCAAGTCCCGTTTCTTATTGTTCACTCATGTACATTTGTATACATCTATTTGAGACTGTCTTTTATTGAAATTTTGATATCCATTTCTGTCTGCAGGACCATCATCAATTCCATCCAGCACTACTGCTCAGCCCAGTGATTCCAGCGAAAATGTGCCTTTCTCAACAACAGGTATCTTTCTTCCAATTGCTCATCCGCGTGAACGCAATCCAGTCGCTGTATGTCTCGCCAGTATAGTCTTTCTTGCGGTCTCTGCCACAATTGCGGCCGTATTCTCTACTCTCATACTCCCACTTTGTCTCTTGGCCGCTTTGATCCGTCGAGCTGGATTATTCTGGGCCAATTGTTGTTGGTATCCACCGACCACTCTGTGCTGT